ATCAACAACCACCGATGACGTATACCCAGCGTCTAACGTGATTATATATCTTATTTTTGTCCAGCCGAGTTAGGCTAGAATAATCTGTTCCTTATACACAGCTTTTCAACATTCAGGTGGGCAATCTTCAAGCTGTGAAGCAGCAGAGCAAAGAAATGGCAGGTCAGCAAAAGAATCTGTATGATCCCTTGCTACCATGAGTAAGCTATTACACTAAAAGCCAATGAACAGGTATCTCCTCGGAAACTTTGCGCCCATCCAGACCACAGTGTCTGACATTACCTGTGATGTGAAGGGCTCAATACCCGAAGAATTCTATGGTGGTCAATACGTTCGGAATGGAAGTAACCCGCTTAAAGATAACACAAAGCACGATATCCACTGGTTCGACGGCGATGGCATGCTCACTGGCGTTTTCTTCATGCGGGATCCAGATACATCAGGGGCCCAGCCGGTTTTCTCTAATCAGTATATCGTGACAGATGTCTACAGTGCCCGTAAAAAGTCCCCATGGATTTACCCCGTCATTCCTGGTATGAACACCATGATTGATCCCAGATCATCGTCAATCAAAATAGCAATGAGCATTGTACGCACAGCAGCGATAGTGACTGCATCGATCTGGGGTTGGATCGCCCGTCCAATCAAAAGAATAGGTACCGCCAATACAAGCCTATTTCATCACGATGGCCGAGTCCTTGCCACTAATGAAATCGGGCCTCCCATGCGGGTTTATCTTCCCTCACTGAAAACCGTTGGCTGGTTTACCGGAAGTCAGGCTGAAGGCGAGTCAGATCAGGAGGATCCATCAAAGCCCTATTTCGGTGCTCCTGGTCTTGAAGGAGTGTACAAAGAAATGACTACGGCTCATGTATGAAATCCAGGCCTACCCGAAGCTTATCGTTTGAAGCTGACATCATCCTAAGCCCCGTGTGGATCGCGAGACAGGAGAGCTCATATTGTTTCATTCCACATTTCTCCCGCCTTATATCAATTACTCAATCGTGCCGCAAGGCGTCCCTGCGAACGCCACCCCGGCTTTGAACCAGGCTGTGCCGGGCTTGAAATCAGGAAAGCTGATGCACGATTTTGGTGTGTCTCACAGGCACACTGTACTTATTGATACACCTGTTTCGTTGGATCCCTACAGGCTTCGCCATGGTAGACCAGCGGTCGAGTACGACCCCGCAGGCCAAACACGCCTTGGCGTCTTTCCGCGACACTCACCAGATAGGGTAAAGTGGTATACAACCGATGCCTGCATAGTAATGCACACCGTCAACACATGGGACCAGAGGGATGCCAATGGCTACCGAGTTCACACCTTGCTGTGTCGTATCAACAGCCTTTCTTCTCTATACTGGATGGGTGGGCTTGACTGTCCGGCATGGGCCTGTCCATCTGAGCCCGAGTGCCGCCTTTACTATTATCAATTTCCCCCCGCCGGTACCTCGAATAATATCATACAGCAATGGGCTCTGTCCGCGATCCCGTTTGAGTTTCCTCATGTCCCTGGGCATTTGCAGATGAGTGCAACGAAGTATGTCTACGGCTGTTCGATGAGGGAAGGAAATTTTGCGACCACGCATAACAGCTGCTTCAAGATAGATAGCCTGGTAAAGGTAAACGTGGAGTCAATCCTCCGCAAGGGGCTTGAGTATCCACCGTCCCAGGTTCATGGATGTGTTGATACTCGTTCTATCCATGAGATCATCAACTCCGAGGATCCTCATGACCCCATCAAAGTTTTTGCTCTTCCCCCAAGGCATTACGCACAGGAATGCTCGTTCGTTCCCCGCAAGGATGGTGTTTCTGAGGATGATGGATGGCTCGTTACGTATGTCTTTGACGAATCTTGGCTGGATGACCGTGGAGATCCTCTGCCTGACGCACATAGCGAGTTATGGATCATTGATGCTGTGAGCATGAAGGAAGTTATTGGCCGGGTGGTCTTGCCACAACGGGTTCCGTATGGAATGCATGGAAGTTGGTTCTCGGAGGAAGAGATCTTGAACCAAAGGGGGGTACATCATTATCGCAATGAGTAGTACGAGAGCCGCATGCAAATTTCTGGAAATTGGTTATTGCAGATACGAGGTCGGGACTAGATAGTCCTTCCTAAAATGGATCCGTGCATTCTGCCGTATTTTTCAAAATCACATACTGTAACTTACAACGGCCGAAACCGTGATTTAGGGAAGATGGTCGTCGCAAGGGGATTGAATGCATGCAGATATCTTCATGAGGTAAAGCGCCTACAGACAACTAGATAACCTCCCGGAGAATATCCCCACACTAACTCATCTCTTGTGATACGTTCGTGTGACTCTGCCTTTTTATCCGGGTGAGAATCGGGTCAAAACCAGGGACGATTTGATAATGATTTAACAAGGATGGTCTGCATTGTCAGGAATGGAGAAGAGCATGGGTGGAACAAGTATTGCCTTGCAATCTGAGGGGGACGCCACGGAACAAGTATCTTAATAAAGCCAACAATCATATATTTGTTGTTGTCAGGGTCCTTCAATACAGATAGTACTATAATCATTACTGTGACTTTGCAAAACTAAATCAGGCTTTACCTTCCATTCCACCATGATATTCTCCTCAACAAGGCCCAGGCTAGATGGTGTGACCCAATTTCGATACAATACCCTTTCTCTAGACTGACCAAAAAGCAGTCCCTACAGACGTAGCTATTTGGGACTGGCTCTTCGACTTTGGGCATCATACGGCACAACAAGCTACAAAAGCGGGTGGCTTCAACGATGCTGCCACGGGTCTGCGGATAGGCCACCAAGATGTGAAAGCTTATTCCACCTTCGCGTCAACCGCGTTAGTACAGAAACATGGCCTTCGGCCTGGTGACACCGTCATCATTCTTAGTCCGAACTCAATTCACTATCCAGTAGCAATGATGGCGACTATTCGAGCTGGTTGTCACCCACCCTTCATTTGAGTCCTTCGGCAGGTGCGCAAGGTTTGCTGATTTTCGTCAGGTGGCATTGTAGCAGGGGCATCCCCTGCTCATGGTGAAGATGAGCTAGCATATCTTCTCAGTTCTTCACGCGCAAGGTTTATTTTCACCATTCCTTCTTGTCTGCCTAAGGTTATGAGATCAGCAAACAGGATAGGAATCCCGCATGCGAGGGTCTTCCTGCTGGAAGGGCGACATGGATCTCATTCAACCCTGCAAAACTGCATTGATATGGGAAAGGTTCATGGGTGTGATGGTCTGGAGGGGTCTTTCAAAATCCTGGAAGGGAGCAGTAACCAGGATTTGTGTGGATACCTGAACTTCAGTAGTGGCACCACAGGACGACCCAAAGCCGTAAGTCTTAAACTATTGCATTGTTCCTCGTGCGTTGCTATAATACCTGCTAATATATAATGGCAGGTGATGCTTTCACATCATAATATCATCGCACAGTGTATGCAGGTTGGGCAAACGGCTGACATCGCGAACAAGAAGATGCTCGCCGTGCTCCCGCTCTATCATGGTAGGACAGTGTCCCCACTGGACGTGTTTGGAACATTGGCTGATAAACGAAACTACAAGTCATCGGATTGATCCATCTGATTCACGTGTCTATAATGCGTGATATGGAGGTATTGATGCTGCCGTCGTTTACCATGGATTCCATGCTAGACACCATTGTGAAGCACCAAATCACAGAAGTGCCAATTGTACCACCCATGATTGTCCGACTTCTTAATGATCCAAAAGTGGCAGAGTATGATCTTTCCCATATCAAAACATTCTCTTCTGGTGCAGCGCCAATTGCAACAGAGTTACTTCGGCAGTTAGAAAAAGCTTATTCCGGAACTGGCTTGAAACAGAGCTACGGGATGACGGAGAGTTGTGGCGCCTTAACAACCCATTCCCTCAATGAACAGGGATACAAATATGCGCATACTGTTGGTACCGTAATGGCCAATACAGAGCTGCGGATTGTTGATCCAGTGACATCATTTCCCTTGGGTTGTAATGCACAAGGAGAAATCCACGCCAGAGGGCCGCAGATAGCCATGGGATATTTAGGTAACGACGAAGCTACTAACGAGACCTTTTCTCCAGATGGTTGGCTACGCACCGGTGATGTTGGCTTCATTGACAGCGAAGGATTTCTGACAATCACCGATAGGATCAAAGATATGATCAAAGTCAAAGGGATAGGCGTGTCTCCTGTAGAGTTGGAGGATAGCTTGTTGCAGCACCCGGCTGTAGCGGATGCAGCGGTTGTAGGTATTTACGAGGAATACTCGGGACAAAGACCGAAGGCATATGTGGTTATGAAGGGAACATCTGACAGTGGAGCAAATGGGGAGGTTTCTTGGCGCGTTCTGGGTCAAGAGCTGATGGAGCTGATCCGGTCTCAGAAAGTGCGTCACAAGTGGCTGTTGGAGGTTGAATTCGTAGATGCCATTCCAAAAGGGCCCAGTGGTAAAATCCTCCGCAGAGAGCTTCCCAAGCGCGCAGAGGCAGAAAGCATGCACCGGTGCAGGATTGTGCGGGAATTTCAGTTAAAGGGGAAGCTGTAACATTTCGGGGGCATGTATGTAACTTGTCGCATCAAAACAAGGTCATTTTACTATAGCCGTGGAGATTTGACTAGCTAGCCATACTGACAACGTCCCGATCGTGTTCTTTGTATGGATTTCCTTTTCCAATATCAGCGCTATTTCTGCTATCCCCTCAGTCAACAAAATACTGCTTCCAAGGCAAAATGAGGAATGCCAAGGGATTTGCCCTGCAAGTGTACCGTTTTATGCAGCTTCAGTGAGAATCCTTGCCTCGTTAGCTCGCTATAGGCATAGCTTGGTGTGATACCGAAAGAGGAATGTCACCCCTCATGCAAAACACCCGAGCAAAGACCTATACTCTCCCTTGTATATACCCTGGACCAGAAGCCAAACAACGGCTCCTCTTTCCAATCATTCATTGCTTCGAAATTTATTTTTCCGTGGCCTTTCATTGACGCTGAGCACTAACATCTATCATGACGACCCACGTACTGGATGTTTACCGAGCATCCCCCTCCGGTCAGATCCATCTTGACCACATTACCCGCCAACTATCGCCTGACGAAGCTCTCGTCGAAGTGACGCATGCCAGTCTATGCGGTACAGATAGTATCTACCTACATTCTCAGCAAGTCCTGGGCCATGAGGGAATAGGCATAGTTAGTGCGATCGGGGCCGATGTGCGGAATGTCCGAATCGGCGACCGTGTGGGAATGGGATACGTACAGAAAACGTGCGGGGAATGTCAATGTTGCAAATCAGGTAAATGTTCTGCTTTACCCGTCATGCAACATTGAGTATTGTCGCTTAGATGATTAATTTCGTAACACTCTGTAGCCTGGGACCAATATTGCCAAAGAAAAGACCTTTATGGCATGTCTGACCCTGACCGCGGTTGTCTCGGCTCCAAAACTATTTGGAACGCGAACGCCCTTATACCCATTCCAGATGGGCTACACTGGTGATGCTGCGGCGCTGATGTGCGGTGGTGCTACTGTCTGGACTGTGCTTAGTCTTTACGGCATGCAGCCTGGGGATCGTGTTGGAGTATTAGGCATCGGCGGCATGGGGCATCTGGCCATCAAAATGGCGGCTGCGATGGGATATCATGTTGTTGCTTTCTCCGGATCGGAGTCCAAGAAGGCGGACTGCTTAGCCTTTGGGGCTAAGGAATACTATCTGACTAACGGCGAATCAATGGAAGGTCTGACTACACTGATTGATGTCCAAGTTATCCGCTGACAACTACATTTAGATATGGAGCCACTAAAACACCTTCTCTTGTGCGGTTCCAGCTCGGAAGATTATACATTGTAAGCCATTGGTTCATTTGTATCACTTTGATCATTCAAACTAAGCATGGGCCCGGTAACAGCATTCTTTCTCTTCTGGCGGTACATGGAACAGTCTATCCATTGACAGTCTCTCTTCAACCGGCTGCTATTCGAACCATCATGCTGATTAACAAGGGCCTTCGAATGCAAGGTTCTTTGGTCGCATCCCGTGGCGATCTAGCCAAAATGTTGCAGTTTTGTGCGGACAAGGAAGTGCGACCTGCTACAAGCAATTTTAGCCTTGCATCTACAGAGGAGGTCAATCAGGCCATGGAAAGCCTGCAGCGTAACACTGTTCGCTACAAGGCATTGCTTGTCGCAGATAAACATGCACAGAAGCTCTGAGGAAGTATGACAAATGACAGTGGTTTTGGTTCCCTTCAGCATATGGTAATATATAGAAGCGTAGTGTAATGCAATGTCATTCGATGGAACTATCATGCCTGCACTTCTGTAGAAGGGCCGACGTCACAAAGTATACATGGGATCGAGAAGGGCAGATCAAAAGGAGGCAAGAAACTTCAATATGGCCTACCACGGCACCACTGCTCCATCATATTGGTTCAACCCCTCTGCCTGCTCCCATCCGGGAACTCGAATATTGAAGAATTTTCCATTATCTTCTTGGGTTGCAGGAACTATGATATCCAATAGACCTTGTACACTCTGGTCGGCTGTTATATCCGCCCTCTCTCCTCCAAGGTCTGTCTTCACCCACTATCGGAGAAGTTAGTTTCATGGATGTTTCAAGACACGCCGATAGGAAACGTACACCCGGCGAGATCGCAAGAAACGTGAATCCTTGATCCGCGAAAGACTGCGCGTATTGCACAGTAAGCATATTCAATGCTGCTTTACTAACTTTGTAAGCTGGCACTGGAAAAAGTGCGAACCTGGGTGCCATTGTAATTGAGCCAAGTGTTGTCGAGCTGGACGTAGTTAGAACCACAACAAGTGATGTCTGGGCAGGTGGCAGAAGACATACATGTTTACCACTTTCTTCTGATTCCCTTTCTTAAGGAGTGGTAAGAAGGCACTTGTCACCATATGGGCACTGGTGACATTGTTGTGGAAGACGGAGTCCAAGTTGTCCCTATTGAGCGTCAATAGCGCAATCATTACAATTGGAGAGAATTACCACTAACATATTTTCTATGCCGCCCTGGGTGGAGGGCATGATACCCGCATTGTTGATCAGGACATCAAGACCTTTCCCCAATAGCACACTTTCAACGGTCCCAACCGCCGTTTGTAAACTATTTTTGCTTTCGACATCCATGGATACATGATGGACTCGCCCGGGGGACTGTGCCACGAGACGTTTCAGATCATCGGTCTGGGTACGTGCTGCGGCAAAGATGACGGAGACCTCGCTGGCGGGTTTGGAGGCCAGTGTACGGGCTGTGGCGAGACCAATACCACGGGAAGCGCCTGTGATTAGGTAGGACGCCATGGGGAGAGAAATATAATAAACAATTAGATAGATTGAACCTGAGATTTATTGTGTTTCCCTATGCTTGTGTAGTATCGTGTTCAAGTACGTGACGCTCGACTATATATAACGACGGTGGAGACCCGTATATTCAAGTATTCACCCTCTGATGCTTTGAAATCAAAGCCAACAAATAACCAGCGAACGTATAGTGGTATAGTACGAGAAGAAGAAAGAAGGACATTGTAGAATCCTTCGTTAACGTCATTAGTGGGGGCTTCTGGATTTGGTGCCGAACCTTGATTTGTCAGAACGGCTTCTTACAAATCATCCACGCAGTTCATCAGCCCATATCGGCAGAGGGGGAATTGGAGCTTCATTGTATTATACGGATCAAATTTCATTTCGTATATACCGTTCTTACTGCTCATGAAAAAATCCAACGTCATTTGCATGGTGTGGCTCAGGCCGTGATCAGGGCAACTGGCGAATCAGAAGCGGCACAGTATATGCTGGCTCCGATCGTGGACTATACCCGGAAACATAACTTCTCACTCATCTACCGGAATTATTTAGTTCAGTGCAGGTGGAGAGGGATCGAGTTTCCTACACTTCTCAAGGTAGGGTCTATAGCATGTGTGGAGTCATGATCTTGTTGTTGTCGCTCTGGCACAAGCTGTCGCTCATCTCTGGAGGCTAACAATCTAATACTTTCAATCATGAATAATCATCTTCATCGTCGCCCAGTTCTCCTCCTTTCTGCGTCAGTCGATTGAAAAAGTCCAGGACTGCCACATCCTGAAGCTTGTCTCCATACAAACCGGTTAAAACGCGAAAGCCCTCTGCAGCCGCTAGTGGGATATCTACGATCACGTCGGATACGTACTTGATGGGCAACTTGCCAGAAGCTGTCACAGAGGCTGACGCCAGGGCGGCTGCTTCGTTCTGTTTTTGGACCTCGGTAGCCTCCGGTGTTAGTGCGTTGTCGTTCATAGATCGGGACTTATGGATATGCTGATGCGCAGATAGGGACTGGAGGAATTGTGTGTTCGCTATGCTCGTGCTTGAGCGAATGGTGCCGGAAGGTGTTGAAGGTCGCGATGTATGGCGGAACAACAAACGATACATAATATTGAATAGGCCAGAAATATGGATTACTAGATTTGGATCTGATAGCCCAGACGGACACATCGAAGCATGAATTCTTGGGCATTCATGCTTCATTCAATGGCTGCTTGTATACTACCCCATCGACAGTAGTAATCAGGGTCCCATTGGCGTGGAAGATATTAGTCATGGCATCATCAACTACGTGAAATCCATCAGGGCTGGTTATCTTCGTACTAGACGAAACTCCAGTTCCGGTGAGGTTGGAATACCAGTCGAGGCGGGTAGATGAATATGACACCATAGTGGCGGCCACCGACTCATATCCGTTTATATAATGAAGGCCATCATCAGAGTAGTTATGGTAGGTGGCCGAAATAAAGTTGATAGAGGAAGTGGCCTCGCTTATTTGGAGAACAACATGGGCCAATCCTGAGTGGAGTCCATGGAGCGTAAAGTTGCCCGGGGGCACATTCAAGACCTCGGGAATGCTGGTGTTGCCTGGGGTATATGGCAGTCCCCATGGTACGGTATCGGAAACCGGATGCACAGGGTCAGTATGGTAAGGTTGTCGACTGGTGAGCCGGGCCATCATTAGACGCGTTGTTCGGCCACCGGGCTCAGTGGATATGGGGCAGGGTAGCGGGTTGGTACCACCACAAGCAGGAGGTATGACCATCTTCTGCCAGTACATGATCCGAGTGCCATCAGGAGACCACCGAGGATCTGCTCCAGCATTCCAGTTGGGGTCATTAACGCTGCCAGGCTGTCTGTTTCCATCGGCATTAACCTGTTGGCCGTAGTAATTGGGATCGTGGTCACCCTGAGCGTCCAGCAGCCAAGGTTGGAAGTAGCGTCGAACCCCATTGTTACGCACAGATGAAACTGTAGCGATTGTAATCAGGTCCGTCACAGGAGGAACGCCACGCATCCCCGACAAAAATTCCATGCGGTCCGTGCCACGGGTGTCCAAGATGACCTGCCATCGGCCATCCGGAGAATCACCCACAGGGTCAACGTACCCAGGGTGCGTGGTGACACGGCGGACGCGACCAGTAGTCAAATGAACGGCAAATAGATCGACATTGCAGGATTCCCAAGGACTACCTATATACAGGACTTCGTTACCGCGGCCAGTGAATCCTCGGAATTCTCCTACAGTTATGGCCTCCCGGTTAATGTAAAGTCGATCGCCTGTGACGTTGTATGGTTGTAGTCCGTTCGGGGAAATGAGAACAGTCACATTGACGATGTCATATCGAGCACTGCGAGGAGATCCTGTAGTAGGGGATTCGTTGAAGTGCAGTCGGCCGAAATATCCATTCTCATTCAGCTGACCAGATGAGGTGGTGCTGTATGAGTTGAAACCCAGGTGGACGTCATCGGGGTGCAAGCGTAGCTCGCGAATGCTGGCTCCCGACCCGGAATCATCCGCCTTGTTGCTCATCCGAATGGGATAAATGTAAATCTGGTCCGGAGTGCACTCATCACTTGCCAATTGGCCCACTCGACATTCGATGATGTTGGCTCCAGCCATTGCGCGTCGACCATCGGTGAAAGTCTGAGGGTAATCGCTCAAGGACGTACTGCCCACTTTGTTGTTTTCCGGTATACCACAAGTCACACACTTCCATGGGTCGCCAGTGGAGAAGTTGGTTCCATTCGTGCTGACCATTATCAATTGGACTCCCGTGTAGATGCTTGCTGGGTCTGGTGCGGCTGGGGCACCGGTGAAATTAAGGCTGGCCCAGACGTAATTTCCGTCGGGGGAGAAGTTGCCACCTTGCATTAAAGATGTTTTCCCCATGCATCCAGTGCCATGAGGGTTAACTCGGCGGGTACAGGCACCGACATCGTCTGTGGGCACGACTGGTGGTAGTGGCAGTTGGACGACCTCAATTGGCTCGGGTGACGGGGTTGATTCAGCGACTGCGGCGGATAGGACCGAAGATACGATTTCCAGCGAGAGAGGGAGAAGCCCTCCAAGGATGGGGAACAGCATAATTTCAGAAGATAAAAACCTAGTTGACGACGAAACATGATTTCAGCAGCGTGGATTGAGCTTATATTTCTAATGCGCAGATCGGGAAAATCCAGAAATGTCAGGAGTTCTGGTGGATTTCGTTAGTATTCCCGGCCAACGGTTGCCAACTTGCCGTACGTGTATGCACGGGCCAAGTTGATGTTGATCGTCTGCCTGGTGGGTCGACGGACCAGCAGAAGGGGGGTTGATGGGGGATCTTCGGCGGGATACGCGTATGCACGGGCCATAAAAGGGGATGGCCCTCTGATTCACAGTCAAGGTGCCTCGGTGACGACACTAGAACAGGTCAAACCGGTCTGCCTTTCATGTGTGTCTCTTACAAAAGGGACTAGCTTGCGTGAATAATAAGAATTCCGTCTTGGCTGCATTGAGTGCAAGCGCCGTCGTATCAAGGTAATATAGACCCTTATGAAGATTGAACGACATTGACGGGTAGGAAAGTGGGAAGAACAACGGCCAGTATGTTCGCGATGTACAATATCAGAGCGGACCTGTGAGTTCGCAGAACTACCGGCCCGTTGCATCAGACCCACCAGGTCTCGAAGACAGACCCCTTCCATGCCAGCATCCTCGACAGGAGAGACGACAGATTCGACTCCAACGGCCGCTGATTCTGATCCCCCTGTAGAGCCAGCAGCCAACATTTTTTGCGCGGAACTCCTGTATCAGATGTTGACTGAGACTATCGAATCACTCGATGAGTATAATAGCCCGGGGATAGTAGAGCCCCCTGCCGACATTATCAAGTGCTCGATGGGGGTTCCATATCTTGTAAGCGAGCTCTGGGCTCTCGCTGCCACGCATCTCAGTATCATCCGCCCTGAATAGAGTACCACTCTTACCGTCACACGTGGCCCACTTGCGGAATCATGCATTGTGATTCTTTAATGCAACTAGGCATGCAGATGATCCTGGAGCATGCATTCCCCGCTCCATCTTTTCCTCCATGCTCGGGTTGCATATACTATGCGAGACTCTTATCTCCAGTAATGATGACTTTAATGTCTTCCTCGACTCCTTGGTTGCTTATTTCTGTCTACATCATGGCGTGCGTGCCGTTATAGGAGAAAATTGGAGCATGTTATCGCAGACGAATAGTCTCGGGCCGACTTTAGACTGCAGAAAGACGGCAACAGACCGATGGCAGTCTGGTCCCATAATGTAGCCACCTATTGGCGCTCATACAGCAGTCTAAATTGGGTCCCTCCATCACTGAAACACTGAAAGGTATTGACAAACAGCATTGCAGTCGGCAATACACTCAATATTCCCCAATCGCCCTGGAGGCGCTTGCATTACTGGAGTTTTTGCATGGCCCGCCAGTGTACCGTCGGAATACTTCGATCTCGTCGCCCTTCATAGCCCAGACGCTCTTGCTGTGATGGCACATTACGGGGTAGTTCTGCATTCTTATCACCAATGCTGGTTCTTGGGCAGTGGCGGGCGATATCTGATGGAAGCGGTTATTGATTATTTGGGGCCCGCTTGGTCGGAATGGTTGGTATTTCCCAGCCAAGTGTTGAGTGCAGGTTTACACGAAATTGTGCTCTTTATAATTGTTTCTGTTAGCATTCTGGAAGCGCATATGACACGTTAGCAGCATACAGGCATCATAGGAAAAAAAGAATTTTGACTGTGAAAGTTCCGATATAGGAGTAACCCCTTCGCCATCTTTTCAGAAAGGTGTCTCTAATGAGCTACATGGAAGATTATTCCGTTGGTGAACCTAGTATAGCTTACACCAACGCTTCCAATTGTTTACGCAAAGCTTGCAATGTTTTCTCGTTCTCCTTCCACCTTTTCCTGGCTTCTTCGTAGTCATCATGTGAGACCCATCCCTCTTCACCACTTATTTGAGCTCTCAGATTATTTAATTGACTGAACGCGGCCGCCCATGCCTCTGCCTTCTGCCGGCTTTGCTCAATCTCCTTCCTTGAGAAGTAAATGGGGCATAGGCTTGTTGAACCTCGCTGTGCCATGATTCTGTCCCACTTCTCGTATACCTGTATTAAAAGCTCTCTTAAGGGTATTGGCCCGTCCGTGGAAGTCTGACTGACAATGTGAAATATAAAGCTGGTTGGGTCATTATCATCTCTCATTTGGTCCATGGCATGAACAAGAGACGGGTTGAATTTCCGGGAGGCAAGCTCGTAAAACTTCTTCAATCTCAGCCTCTCTAGCTTTCGTTGGGCTTCTTTCCTTTCAGCATTTGGGAGCACGTCAAAATCCGTAGGTAGTTGAGGCTGGACAGCACCCCATGTGTAATCATCTTCGCAATTGAATAATGAGGGAAACTTTGCCATGAGGAATAGAGGCGCTATATGTACTGATTGCCAAACAATTATGCTTGTGATCTGAGTTGGATCATGTCCGTCAACAAATATGTTATCTACGTGAAGGTCATGGTGCAGCATGACGGGGGAATGGGTGCTATCTGACGGTAGTATGTGAGGAAGCACAGTCAGAAATTTCTCAAGGAGCTGTATATGTTCTTTTCGTTGCTTCGGTGTCCTCCCCAAAGGTACAGTGGCATGGTTGGTGTTTCTATGTCCATGTCGTATACGAACAATCTCACGGTTTGCAACAGCGGAAAGATATCCCATGGCCGTTTCCCCTGCGTTCTCAAACTTAGTAAGAGACTTGTGGGAGGTGACCGATAATACACTCACAAGGGCCTCTGTCAATATCTAGATTTTCCACTTCGTCTTCCCAAAAGGACCGATGAGCTGTCGGGCCGAATACATATTTGAACTGGATATCGTCATCTAGGCCGGGTATAGCACCAATGCTTCTTCCCTGCGGGAATGTGTCCCGATAATACAAACTACCATGTAGGATAAATTTCGATTCCATCAATCTGCGTTCAATATGTACCAAGTTCCTCACCAGGCGGAAGCGTTGAGACTCAGACATATTATCCCAGACCTCGCTGAGTTGCTGCCCTTGTACCTTTTCCATGATGATATATTCCGCAGCAACTGGGTTGGTCTGTGACGAAGAACTCCACGATAGAACCTGGGGTACAGGTATTTTAAGACTGGCTCGCAACTATGACAGCATTAGGACACTAGCTCGACATCTAGATCCAATCTCACGTACGAAATCAAGAGTTGCTACTTCACTAGCAACAACATAATGAGGATGGCCAGCGTTCGGGTTGGGAATTCTAGCCAAGACCTCCTTACCATCCGCCATCTTTAGAGAGAACACCTTGTTGAACATCCCCTCGCATAATTTGTTCATTGCGATACATTGTGTTCCAAATATCTGTCCAGTAATTTTCTGAAGTGCTGGTCCATTAAATGTAATATGACGTTTCTTTAGTTGATGTTGTTCATTGTGTAGCCAACGACCGGATGTGTAATTGAAGTAGTGACTATTTGTGTCAGTTTGCTTGGTACTTAGCGATCGAACAAGGAACCATGGAGGGTATCGTGTTTTGCTCATCATCCACATAGAAAATAGATGCGGCCTGCCAGGAAAATCTCTTTTGTGAAGCATGGCTTGTTTGATGGTCATGGCATTAAGGCATGAAGGGTGTCGCGTAGCTAAATATTGGGTTTGCTCGACGATCAACGCGCTTTGCAGAACCAGGCTCCATCACATGACGGCCGAAAATGCCACCAGTGCAGGCATTGCGCTGTTATTACTAAGCTGTGTAACCCTACACTTCGATATACTGGAATTGGTAAATACCGACCTGCAGAGAATTTCGAGTAGACCCAGTGGGATGCAAGCTTTAGCATCACTGATATCCCAAGGGCTGTGGGAATGGCCGGGGATCTCTTGGAAACCCTGAAAGCCTTTGCATGACCTTGTTGGACATTGTGGGGGAAGCAGTTGCAAATCTACCAGGATTTGCAACCAGTTTGGATGACGACGGGAAGTCCAGCTCTACCCCCGAAAGCCTTATCAGAAGCCACAACACTGGCTTCTTTATGAGAAGGACTAAACCCGCTAATCTTCAAAATTCTGGTTTCTTGCAGTAAAGAATAGAGTGGTTACCTTGGAAAATAGTGAGCCTTCGCCATTTATTCAAAGAATCGCTATGGATCTTGCTGGTGTGATGGCACGCTAATATAGCTTGATTGGACATTGTCTTGCGGATATGGGCGAATGCCGCATTATGAGTGAGCTATACAGGTCAGGCGCACTACGGCCTGGGCTTTACCTTACAGATGAAAGGATTATGAAGACGGGCCGTGGATCTTTTCATCCTTTACCCGAGAGGGAATTTGAAGGGGTTAGGGTACTTGTTCAAAGTGCGGCATAAAACATTTTAGAATCTCTGCTGACCAAAGTTCTTTTGCACTATATCTGTTGCTTCTTGTATCGAAACGTCAGCTTCGCATACTAACGCAATTTCAGATCCGCCGTGGTTAATTCATAGTGACTATTCTGCGCTATGAAATAAGTTCGGCAGTCCTCATCCGCCGCGCAAAGTAAACTGCAAATGCAATGATGCAGGAAGTATAATCATCAAGTCTGGTGAGTTCTTGTGAAAGTTTCGCTCAGTCTATCCTGGTGCCAATGATACATCATATCGTCGAATGACCTCGGCAGGCCATACTCTGCTTCACTATGGAGCAGAGAGCTCCTGTGGCGAGGGCAGGCACAGTCCAGCACCGGAGAGAGATGTATCTATGACTGCTCCGGCGGTCAGGAAGGCGTGCATTGGGGGCTTGCCAGATCGTGCACCTGATCGTCTGGTGTGCTGTTGTTCATTCAGCATCTCCGAGACTTGACTTCAAGAACTGAAAGAAAGGTCCCAAACAATCTTATGATGGCTTCAGGGAGACTATATAGAGTCTGACGCTGTCCAGTTATTTCGTATTGCTAGTTAGTGTGGACAACCGATTGACCAGTGTCAGGATCAATGCCTGCCGTTGTGTTGCCCTAGAGTGTATGCAATATGTTCGTGTGGTCTATTTGCAATGGGAAATGAGTCCGTTACCGGTAGAATCTCATGTTCAACTCGCACAAAACCTCTGCCAATCTAGTCAGTAGATCCATAGATCAAGTCTCATGGCAGGTTGAGGCCAGGAAGCTTATTAAGCATAACCAACATCCGATTGCGGGCCCCTTGCTTGGTATGTCTTGCAGGCAATGCCTGAATAGGTGTCTCTTCTCACCGGCCTGGGCCGATTCCGCGGGGCATTATGCGCCCCGAAACGATCGTCAGCCTGTCCAACTCCTCCTCGTTCAGCATATCGACCCTTGGACAGATTCGAGTGACACAGTCTTTCTGCCAGACTGTCTGGTAATATGTGACCCTCATCCTGCTTCCTTCCACTCCTCACATTCGGTGTAACCCATGCGTAGCGCGTATAATTAGCACAGCACCACATCCCTTGGGAAGAGTTTCCAGAACGTCATTCTCGAATATTATGACGCGCCGTTGCCGCTACTCTACAGCAATACTCTTCCAATTTGTACCACGAGGCACAGTACTACCATCACCGGTCCAGCATTGACAACAGTATATCTACAGTCAGCTGTGACTTCAGCGTGCAGATGTATGAGACTCCAACCTGCTTCTAGTCGCCCGCTGATAGCACTGACTATTCAATACTTGGCAACAAGATACGTTTTAAGCGGCTACTACTATTTGAATCTTGCTTGGTCTGACTGGCACTGGATAGTAAGTTATGCAAGGCCTCTCGAAGTAAGGTGCCTGGAGATACACTCATAACGAGGATAATAGCCGACACTTTCATTCACCACTTCGGGCCCCTACCATACCCACGAGTCACAGTGTCATTCGTCACCTCCAATTTTCCATCGCAGAGCATTGTCGAAACAAGCTCTGTCCAATTATTATAAGGCTGTAGCTGCTTTTAGTAAACAATTCTCGTACAGGTCCAACCGAAGTTATTGGATGCTTCTAGTTTGCTCCGAAGACAGACACCTGCGTAAGTTACTGGGCCTTTTAAAAATTAGGCCAGAAATTTAGGCTCCTATCCAGGCACGCTGTACAAGGGGAAGCAAAAGGAAGCAACATAATACAGGGAAAGTGTGTCGTATCACTATCTAAGAACCCGCAGCGGAACAAGCCGCTTGCGAAGGAGGGTTTGGTGTGGCGGGCGCAAGCACAAACAACGTGACGAAGCATACTAGACACTGCCACTAGTGTGATTGAAATGTCCAATTAGGAATGGTAGAACAATCATCTCATGAATAATGCTCTATGAAACAAAGGTTATCCCAAACAAGAAGTTCTCTGTCCTATGTTTGCGTTTTGGTTGAGATAGCGAGCAGGCGGAGGTTTCTTTCTCCGATGCTATACTGGATAAGAACATCTCCGAGCGAAGGACCTCCACTCCTCCGAACAGAAGGCTTGGCGACAAACGTGTCTCCAATTTAGACCAAACTAAAAGCAGTACAAGATGCACCTAAATCTAGCGCAAACAACAGCACTTCCATTTCCTGCCCCTTGACCTCCAAACTCCGACCCTTAACTCCAATTTCCACCCACCATGACCAAACCAACAATCCCCGCTCAGGATATTCACAACGTTCTCAGCAATGTCCTACCCCGAATCAAAAGACACGTTGAAGCCCGAAAATCCGCATCAGACAAGCGCCCATTTATTCTGGGCTTAACAGGCCTTCAAGGAAGCGGGAAATCCACATGGACTGACGCACTCGTACAAGCTCTGAACGATGAATACAAATACAACACAATCAACATATCCCTAGATGACCTCTATTTCGATCATGACGACCTTGTCCAAGTACGAGACAACAACCCCTCCAACAGACTTCTGCGAACGCGAGGACAACCTGGCACTCACGATATCGCACTTGCAGTCGACTTTTTCGACAGTTTAACAAAGTCATCGGAGAAAGTCATTCCATCATTCGACAAGAGCCTATTCAATGGAGAGGGTGGCCGAGCACCCCAAGACATGTGGCGTCGCATTTCAGCAGATGTCCCCATTGACATTGTCATTTTCGAAGGATGGTGTGTCGGGTTCCAACCATTGCCAGAGGATAAGATCTCGCATCGCTGGAACCACGCGAAAGAGGTCTCCGCGGGAGGCAGCTTGAAGCAGACGCTTGGGCAGCACGAGTTGGAGCATTTACTACAGGTTAACGAGAATCTCCGTCAATATTGCGAGTTATTCATGGGGCCGCAGAATTTCGACTTTCTTGTTCATCTTGATACAGATGATTTTATCAATGTCTATGGATGGCGCCTCGAACAAGAACATGCCCTGCGAGACAAGAAAAAGGGCGCCATGTCTGATGAGGAAGTTATCCGCTTTGTGAAGGGGTATATGCCTGCTTACGAGCTGTATCTTGATCAATTACGGAATGGGTTCTTCTCGGGTCAGCAAGGAAAAGGGCAACTATCTGTCGTTCTGGACGAGCGAAGAAAGGTTATGGCAATTCGTCTTGTTTAACGTTATATGGGTACAGTGTTTGTTGGCTATGTGCGACACAAAGCCGTTTACAACATGTTTCCGTGAATAATCCAAGGACCATCTGCCACGCTCCATAGATCGTTCATGAAAAGGTAAGATGGATCGGAGAAGGAAAGCGGATCCTGTGCAAGTCCCTGGTTGAGTACGGCGTTGCTGTTCGCCATGTTGCCGAATATTAGACCGGCGGATGTTTGTGCGTGGGAGGCGTCGTTCGAGTTTATGTCAATTATATTACTGGCATTACGAATGATGCTGGGCGAGTCGCAGTGTTCGGTTGGGTTAACCCCCTGAGTAGCAGAGTCTGTCGATGGTTCAAAATGTTGTGGACTCATAGAAGGCGACAGACGAGGGTACATTGTAGGCCCAGTTCTGTGGGTATTTGGAAAGGAGGAATTCATGCCCATCGAAGCAGATGGATGACTTCTGTGTTGAAACTCCGGTCTCATCGCCCCTCTCGTATCTGAGGGGCCGAGTTGTGAGGCGTTTCCATCGGCCAAAATGCTTGCAGCGTTTTCAAGATCCCGACTAGACTGGTTCATTGACAAGGCAGATACCATGCTCTTAATCCCCTCGATGCATGTTTCAGGCCAGCTGCTTCCACGCAAAGCAAGATCCTGAAGGACAGAAGTCCCCATCCGACCGTATTTTAATGCGGTATCGATCGGGAGCTCGCCTTCCCAGGACGCGTACATCAAAATGAGACAGGCCATCCATGTTGTCCATGTAAAGGAAGGCCAGGTCATTGGTGCTTGAGATGGACAAGACATGTATTTCTTTAATGCTGCAAGGGCAGAACGGGAAGACTCAATACATGTTTGTAATGCATTTTTGTAATCCTGGTCCTGGTTGGGCTTCTCGGCGGTAAGCAATGGTCGGTTCAGGGCAATAACCGCCTCGTGTCGTAGGACCTTGAGAAGCAGTCGATGATATGGGGCTAATGATGAGTCTTGTCTTGATTCTGTATCTTCATCATCCTCCGTAAAATAGACATCGTCGTATACTTCATTCCACCATTGTGAAAGCTCGCCGGTAACATACGACGCGTCGACAGGGCTGGCATGACTATGCAGGACAGACTTGTTGCGAAGCTCGATTATCAAGCCGCGTACCCGAGCGAATTTAGCAAGGTGGCAAAGTAATCGCAGTCGACTATCGGTGTGGCCATTTAATGTTGAAGGAGTGGTTGAGTGCCTTTCTTCGCCCGGATAGCAAACATCAATGTCGTCATCTCGGATGCTAAGCGGGATACCGAGAGCTTGTGATAGATATCGTTCCAAAGTGTATATGGACCAGAATAACCGATATCTAATATCTTTTTCATGGCTACCGAAGCATGAGAAGCGAGCTGGACATCGATGCAATCCAAGGTGATATGCAGTCCGCGTGATGACACCACCAACTCGAGAAGCAGCGTTGAGACGTAACAGAGATGTAAGGGTAAGCTGAGCACAAAACGTCGCTTGCAAAAGTGGTACTGTGGTGGGCTCCATAAGCAGGCTTTGTATATCTTGTATGATGTGACGTACAGATTGGAATACCAGAGTGGCCGGTACTGGTTTGGTGTTTGCACCCGAGCCACCTGTCTGTCGGTTATCGGCAAGAGATATCGAAACAAGGGAGCGGATTATAATCATGTCTAGTCGGCTGACTGCCGAAACACCCTGGCTCGCGAGAGTTTCCATCGACTTAAGAACAGTTGGTGCATGAAGAAAGGGAAAGATGGGGTGCCAGTCCTCAAAATAGCGGCGAGTCCAACTGGCTAAATCATCGAATGAAAACGAGAAATTTGATTCAAAGTTTAGCTCCTCCCTCGACCACAGCTCATCTGTACTGTGAGAGTTTAAGTCGCCGGAGTTTCGCTGCAATCGATCATCTTCTCCTGGCACCGAGGTTCGATTCCGAGCTCGCTGCAACTCGGCGGATCGACGAGCAAAGGCGTTGTAAACCTGACGAACGAAATGAATACCACTAGAGCTTCCGAGAAAGGTGGCCGGTCCATCGTTTTGAGATTCTCTCATCACCCCGATCTCGCGGGGCGAAGGTCGTGATGCACCTGCGGTGGAGGCTCGCTTGCGTCTTTTGGCAGCACGAGGAGCGGCATGCCAGTCGGTTTCATTCTCCTCCAGACGGGAGCCAAATGAAGAGGGTGACACCATTTCAGTGGTTTCCTGTCGTCACATTTCCACGAAACTGGGTGTTATTCGCAGTGTTGGAAGTCGCACACTGGGAAACCGAGGCATGAAGTTATCGAGTTGTTGCGGGCAGTGCTTAAAGTTGCTTAGTCATTGCTGGTGCACTTTGACCACCAAACACATCATAAGGAGGTCTTATCACGCACCCCGTATTGCTCTAGGCAGAATACTTTGCTTGAATAGAACTTCTCAATAAAGATGGAATTTTTCAACATTTTTCTATCCTGCAGAAAAGGTGTATCCCATGTTTGTACAGTCCAATTGACCTGCCGCTTGTCGGCTAATGTCACGTGACCCATTATCTGGGCCATCATCACGCGCGGTTGAGCCCACTCGCACCTCCAAGTCATCATCTAGATAGCATAAATGGAACTAACACTTTAGCCTCATAGGTTTCCTCGCTCGGTAATTCAACATACTTGAAAGTGGCAATTGCAAGTCCAACGTCATATCAACATTCGGCACTCGAACCTTATTTCACCATAGAGAGTACTCGTCGGAGGTTTCTTTCTCCGGATGACGCGGTGGCCCACGCAGACACATCAAACCTGTCCGATCGGCGGCAAAAGACACTTTCCAGGCTGACTGCACTTGATAGTTCCCCGGAGATATTCTACTTTCATATCAAGTTGGTTGGACAACAGGCGGTGAGAAATGGGACGGCAACGATCTAAACGGCCATCCAGTGCCGATATGCCAGGTACGTTCAGCATCTGCACGTCTACAGACCTGCAATTTGACGAATATTAGAAGATGATGATGTTCTAAGTCCTATCTCCTGTGAGGTATGTAGGCAGCGGAAATGCAAGGTTAGTTAGTATTTCGTCGATCTATTGTTCCTGCAGCGCTAATCCCGCATAGTGCGATCGCAGACTGTATGCTAGACCTCCGACCAAGATATTCCCCCTTCATCGGAGCTTTTTGGTCACTAACATATCCCTGCAGCCCGTATTGCTCTCAATGCTCCAACGAATCATCAAAATGCAAATATCCTGAAAGCGGCAAAAGGTACGAACATTCCGTGCGATCAACCCGCACTCCACAGCTAATCAAATTTCATTTGACAGAGGCTTGCCTCTCGGATATCTAAATCAATTAGAGCAGAGACTTGCAGAGACTGAGTCGGCCCTTTATGGTGCTCTCGTGACATTGAGCTCAATGGGACCAACTACTACTCTGCTCCAAGCTACCATGAAGCCGGATTCACTACAAAAATCGAAAGCTGCACGAATGGACGAATGGACGCGAATGCCGCTTCGAGATTGGCCCGACATTTACCACTGGAAGGCATCCATGTGCGATCAATTTACCCTTAATCAGTCGCAAGAGGTACCGCTCGTGGATCACTTGACAGCTAGCCATGCCATTTCAGCTTCGCCTGCTGCTACTACCATCCACAGTCACAGCCCACAAGGTGAATTAGAAACTTCGGGGCCAGCTAGCTTTGCGTGGCACCCAGGCGAAGATGTCAACATGGGCAGTCCCTATAACGCCTATTTTCGACCCCACGGGGTGGTTTCTTCTCCGACATATTTGAGGGACCCAGCTCCGGGTCCAGCAAAGACCATAAGTAATCCATTTCCTGACTTTAGTACCGCCACGGTGACGGGCAATAGTGGGAAAGAAGACGAGCATTCCACGATGGCGGATGAGCTATCTAAGAGCAAGCCTAGCATATACTTCTGATAGCAGATCAAATGAAAAGAAAAGCTTTTGTCAGAATTATCCTCCGCTATAAATCGGCGTGCAACAGTGCGCATATGACATGATACGCCCGAAAATGTCGATCACGGGCATTGAACGATAGGGTCCTGATGTTTAAAGAGTGCAGCCACATCAGCGGATCCCTTCAGCATCTCTCAAATACAAGACTTTGCCAAGGTGGCCAAGCCTCTACTCGGGATGGGTGGAGATCAAACGCACTCTAAAGTTAGGATGTGCGACGCACAAACCCACAACCCGAGATACTTTCTATGGTTTCTAGTCCAAAGGTGGAGGCGGTACATTGGGAAAGCTGCAGCAATTTTTTGGATGGATCTTGAATCTATAAGAAGACTTATATACATGCTAATTATCTATGATGCCACTGAATGTTTAGAAGACACAGCCTCCCCTTCCATATCTAGCCCTTCACCAATATGTCCCTCTGCCTCAAATCCCTCATCCATGCCTGGCCACAACGTCCGGCGGGTAAAGTACGCCCATAGATGGAGACAAAAGCAGCCTAGCCATAAAGCGACTTGAATAATGGTTGCTGCACTGCCAACCCACTGGATAGTCTTCGAAGCAACCAAATCTCCAATTTTAATTGTTGCCAAAGCAAACCCGGTATTAGGAAACACAGTTGCCCACCAAGTGATATCAAACTTCCACTCTTGGTGGGCAGCCAAAATGCTGAGCCACCCAAGCATCCAGAGAAAGAAAGAGAAGATCCACATGAAAATCGACAAGAATACCGCAACAATGAGAAGAACTTCTGCGGTGTTGACGTGCGAGGCCAGGGGAATATAATGAGCAGGGAATTTCTCTGTTGCAATCTCAGCCATGCCCATTAGCGCGACTGCAGTAAACGCCGGTGGTCCAATAGCAATAAACATCTGAGGCCTGCGGCGCATGGGCGGTAGGCCACGGTGGTGAAGGCCGTAGAAGTATTCACCTAGTATGAATAAGGAAATCAAGAAGCCAAATCCCTGCAAGCATGTTCCAGCAATGAGGATGGGAATGGCAAAGTGATTAGGTTGGGCTCCGGCGAGTAGTGAGGCAGTGGTACCACCGAGCATGGCCGGAAAGGATGGAAGGAGGCGCACAAGCCAGAAAGGTTGGCGAGAAGCCATACGGGTCTGATAAAGATGCCAGTTAAGGCCAACTGCTAGAGAGATTGCCACGGCTGTATAGACCCAGAATAGGACCAGCTGAATATATTTCAGCCAACCTCCACAAACAGGAACGCCATAACATTCTATTCCGAAAAGTATGGTAGCGAAGCCCAAAGCAGCTGTAGGGATGAGATAGGCTTCTTCCGGGTCGTTGAATGTATTTCTCAAGGCGTGTCGGTTTCGTGTGAATCGTGTGATGAGAGAAGCCCAAATGGCCAAATAAGTGACAATATCAAGAATGAAAAATATCTTTCCAATAACCATAAGACCAGAAAACTTGTGAGGAGTGTTGTAAAGCAGAGTACCAATGCTCCCAGTGCTCATTGAGACTGAAAACCATCCCCAGGATACCCGACAAATTCTGTCGACAAAGGTCATCGAATGCATGATTCTGTCTTGAGCAGACATTCCGGAACAAAAGCAACGTAATTGCTCAAAGAAGATGACAATGGAGGAAGATTTATAACGGAATGAAAATCCTGCAGGGAATAATTGAGGCAAATAAGGGAAGTGAGGCAACGGCCAGGCCAGGTTTCCTGGCCTCCGGATGGAGAAGGCAGTGGAGCCTAGGGGGCCTGGGGCCCCATGGATACACATAAGATGAAATGCCGAATTTCCGGTATGAGGTCAAATTCATATACACTCGTTCCAACGATCTTTTTCCGAGGAAATACGCTCTCGGTGCCCCATTTGCTCGCACACATGGTTATTCATGGTAACCTTTCCCTTGGAAGAGCTGTGCTGCAGCCATCCCTGGCTTCCATACCCCTTCCTTAAAAGAACACCATGCTATAGAGCCGGTGGCAATGAGACATATGGTAAAATAAATACCGCATTTGCCTTCCGGCATTCGACGAGGGGCTCTCGAAACTTGGAAGAAGGTCAGATGGAGTCATCGTGTGGCCTGGAATCTACACTGGGAAACGAGCTTCGTGGATAAATAAGGCCTGGGAGACATCGATGCATTCTCAATATATAGGAACTGGGCTCCACCAAATGGCATAAGTAGATAGCATTCCCTCACTCGGGTTTTGGGGTGGTTGCTATATAAGCTATCCGTTCATATGGTTGTATGCCAAGATAAGGAGAACCTAATAGACTTGGCAAAATCTCCCAATATCTCATAATAGCTGCAGATCAGATGTTGAGCATTACTTAATAGGTTGACTTGGCCAGTCATCGTTCAGGTATTCACAATTATAGATTGCTGTAGAAAGCATCATTTCTCCAAATTATTGGGCTTCATGAGATGTAGAAGGCCAGACATAAGAAAAGAAGATAGAGATACTCTGATTGCCTCAACAGGTCACTTGATCTTAAGATTGCCTATTATCATCATCTGAAATAGAAAGGGGTTGGTCAGGGTCAAGTGCCTTTGCATGTGTATACATGGTCAATAGAAGTGTGGCTTAGTCAGCCCTTCGTGACAATGCGAGTCACCCAAAAGTCTGCCAACCAGTTCAGATTACTCGTTACGAAACTTGCAATATGCGATATTTTCACGATTGGAGAGAATTTACAGCTCATAATGTGTCTCCCGTCATCTTCTCTGGCTCAGCCTTGGAGTCGAGACCATCTACCGGAGAAGGAAAGCTCCGACGCTTCATTCCCCTCAGCCGGTCATCCACCGGACTTGAACATCTCCGAATCAAAATACCTCATTGGCCACAGAGTTGAGCGTCATAACAGATTGCCACTTTAAACCAGAGAAGACCAGCCATGCGTTGGCACCAAACTGCTTATAACCGAGCAAACACTAAAGCTACCCCTCCATTTACCCCTCCATCTATCTCAAATCACTTCAATTCTACACACACCACACCTGATTCACAATGTCTCCCTCGGTCACTCGCAGAACATACAGCATTGCTTCTATCCCCGCGGATGGAATTGGTCCCGAGGTCATCGAGGCCGGTATCACCGCCTTGAATGCTTTGACCGATACCCTCCAGACTTTCAAGCTTGACTTTAAGCACTATGACTGGAGCTCTGAGACATACAAGAAGACCGGTAAATACATACCCGACGGAGGTCTTGACGAATTGAAGAAGCACGACGCTATCTTTTTCGGCGCTGTTGGTGCCCCTGGTGAGTACCCTGGCATCCGAAGACAGAATATTTTCTAACAGGTATAGATGTCCCTGATCACATCTCCCTCTGGGGTCTCCGTCTGGCTATCTGCCAGCCCTTCCAACAATATGCCAATGTCCGCCCCACTCGAGTATTCCGGGGTACCCAGTCTCCCCTCCGCAACTGCAACATTGGGGATCTTGACTGGGTCATTATTCGCGAGAACAGCGAAGGCGAGTATGCGGGCCAGGGTGGTCGTTCTCACACAGGCAAGCCTTGGGAGTCGGCAACCGAGGTTTCCGTCTTCACCCGTCACGCTGTGGAGCGTATCATGCGTTTCGCTTTCGAGACCGCCCAGAAGCGGCCTCGCAAGCTCTTGACTGTTGTTACTAAGAGCAATGCTCAGCGTAACGGAATGGTTCTGTGGGATGAGGTTGCTAAGATTACGGCTAAGGTAGGCCACTCTTGTTGAAAACCCCTCCTATCATCCGAGTCCTAATATGGGAACTTTTTAGGATTTCCCCGATGTCACTGTTGATAAGATGCTGGTCGACGCTATGACCACCCGCATGGTTCTGAACCCCAAGAGTCTCGATACTATCGTGGCAACGAACCTACACGCCGATATCTTGTCTGACCTGGCTGCTGCTCTGGCTGGATCTATCGGCATTGCCCCTACTTCCAATCTCGATCCTACCCGCGAGTACCCTAGCATGTTTGAGCCTATCCATGGCTCTGCTTTCGATATCACTGGCATGGGTATCTCGAACCCTGTTGCTACCTTCTGGACCGCGGCTGAAATGCTTGCTTGGCTGGGCGAGCAGGAGGCTTCCGAGAAGCTTCTGACCTGTGTTGAAAATGTTTGCGAGCAGGGCATTCTCACTCGTGACTTGGGTGGCAAGGCTAACACCAAGGAGGTTACCGATGCTGTTGTTGCCGAGATTAAGAAGCTGGGTTCTAAGTAGAATTTTAGGATGACTGTACTCCTGGCTCAAGAGGGCCTTCTGTTGTAAATAGAATTGCAGGATTTACGAATATAAACTACAGATAGTAAAAGAATATCGAGCACTATTATCGGAGATCTCGGAACAAGGTGAAAATGTTGCGTGTACTTGGCATAATAATTACATTCCAGCTTTTGACTATTGATGATACTCGCTGAGGGGACAACTCCGAGCCTCAAATCCAGTCAGACATCGCCTCATGCAGCTCGTAGAATATCTCAAGAGTGCTAGCAAGTTGAACACACCAATACGCCCTGGCTATCCTAGGCATAGGGAAAGAGATGTGCCGACAGGAAATGATCATCAACCTGTGTGATTTGTTTTCCGATCTCGGAGAAACAAGTATTATGCGATATTTATCAATTCTTGCATTTTTAGCCTATTACGATTAAGCAGCGCACGCATGGCAAGAATTTCTGCACATTGATGTAATTGCGTTATGAAAGTAGCCGGACATAGCAACCTCCGGTGAGTGTGGTCTGATTATCACTTCCTCCATCGTTGTGCTGTGGTCCAATCATGATGCCGTATCAATTCAAATGCCAAGTATTCCCCGCAATGCATGGGGAAATCCTTGTGCGCTTCCCCAGTTTTACGGGGACCCCAGGTCATTGACAGCATGTCTCGGGGTTGGCATACTCTTACCAGTCCGGGGATGGAAAGGTTTTGGTTCCTCCTATATAAAGTAAACACAGTCATTTTCTTAAGGATTCACTTCGTTTGTGTCTACTGATCTCTCTCATTCATGACTCTTGGTTGAGACCCCCTTCAAAATGGCTCAACAACTTTTGCACCTTACTGGCAGTGCTTTACGCATGGCCCAGGTTATCCTCATCGTTGCTCCCGCTTTTATCATCTTCGGCTACAACCAGGCCGGGGCTGGCCCCCTTGCTACCCTCCAATCTTGGGTTAAGGTCTTTCCTCAAATCGACACAATCAATACAACAGGTGCTTTAGAGGCAAAGAATTCAACTGGAAAGGGAGCTGTCATTGCGTCCTTCCAAATCGGTGCGCTGATTGGTGCGCTTTCGTGTACTGTCATTTCGGATCGTCTTGGGCGTCGCAAGACTATATTTATCGGTTCTATTTTCACTATTATCGGTCAATTACTGCAAGTGTCAGCCTACTCTTTGATTCAATTTACAGTTGGCCGAGTCATTCTGGGTATCGGTACTGGTCAATTCAGTGTTGCTGTCCCTGTTTGGCAATCTGAATGCTCTTCCGCCAAGCATCGCGGTCAACATGTCATCGCCGACGGTATCTTTATGTGTCTCGGATATGCTCTGTGCAACTGGATCGACTTTGCCTTCAGTCGACTTTCCAATGAGAATACCGGTCAGTGGCGTGGACCGCTGTCGCTTTCCTTCTTGCCATCACTGGTGATCTTGGTAGCGGTCTTCTTACTCCCCGAGTCTCCGCGTTGGTTAGTGAGAGTCAACCGTACCGAAGAGGCAACCGCTAGTCTTGCCGCATACAAGGGCATGTCTCCCGAGGATGAAGCTATTAAGTCGGAGATTTCTGGTATTGAATTATCTTTCGAGCATACCTCTCAATCCACAAGGGCAATCCGCGAGATGTTCTCCAAGGATGATGACGAGCGCTTGTTCTATCGCTTCTGTCTCTGCATCATCTTGCAATTTTTCCAACAAATGTGCGGCGGGAATCTCATTTCAGTCTACGCCTCCACCATCTTCGAAGAAAACCTGGGCCTAAGCTCTAGTCTCTCAAAGATCCTCGCAGCATCTGCACTCACGTGGAAGTTCGTGTGCTGTTTCATCTCCTTTTTCGCCATTGATCGACTGGGCCGCCGGGCGGTATTTATGATCAGCGGCACTGGCATGGCATTCTGTATGGCCGCATTGGCAATCACCACTAGCTTCGGAGTTGAGAACAGACAGGCGTCGATCGCATCGGTGGTTTTCATTTTTATGTTTAATCTCTTCTACCCCATTGGCTTCCTGGGCGGTAATTTCCTGTACTGCACAGAAGTTGCGCCCCAGCGCCTTCGAGTTGCCATGTCTGCTATCTCCACTGCCAACCACTGGATGTGGAACTTTGTCGTTGTCATGGTCACCCCGGTCGCTTTGGATACTATTGGCTACCGGTATTACATTATGTACGCAATCTTATCGGCGTGCATCCCGGTTTTGGTGTACTTCTTCTATCCAGAGACAATGAACCGGAACTTGGAGTTGATCAACCATGTCTTCCGGGATGCGTCGTCGCCTTGGCAGATTGTCTCTATGGCGCGTAATCTTCCCCAGGGAGAGATCACTCCGGCAGAGCTGGTCGCCTATAACAAAGAGAAGGATGATTGCTCTGTTGAGATGAGAGAACATGCATGATTGATGATATTATTGCTGGGTTATGTTGGCGAGATTTATGACATAGTCGAATGTACATGTTTTTACGGATTATATTCCAGATGAGACAATCAGTTCGCGTTCAAGGTTACCGTGTTTGCCGCACCTACGTAAGGGTTTCCTAGAAAAGCTGGATCGTAACCACTATGCCTGACATCTAGCCCCAGTAAAGACAGGGTGAAACTCACGAGCAAATATCGACCCTTGGCATACTGCAAGCATGGTCTGATAGGCGGGATGAGAATAGGGAAATATGACGAACCTATGAGGATGCTGACACCGAGCCCGGAGAAAAACACCCCGCGGCTTGCCGGTCAAATATGCCGCAGCCTCATTTAACGTAACCGGCAAGCGAGTCGGCCAGGCAAGCCAGTCGGCCACCTCTGTATCCCATACTAATCTAATATTTATCAAACTCTTAATATCTCAGCCACCGTTGGCTCAATTACATTAAAATACTAGCTGAAGCTATATACATACTTTAAGAAAAATATATTAAAAATATATAGAATAATAGGAGTTATATCGTACATAATTTTAGATTAAAATAAATTATCCAAGAATACGGTGTAACATATATTACTCGAGCATATACCAATATATATTCTATTATATTTACATACTAAGCTTATATACGCTCTAATATGCCAGGCTTTTTTTATAAAATAAATAATATGAAGTTTGGCTGTAGTATTACAGCTCAAAAATTGCTGGATTAGTATGGGATACAGAGGTGGCCGACTGGCTTACCTGGCCGACTCGCTTGCCGGTTAGTTACGTTATCTCGGTTTATTAAGCCCTAAACCAGGGTTGGCTAGCACTGGCTAGTCCGATTTTCGGAGGTTTCTTACCCCGACTTATTTCCCGGGGCTGGTCCAGAATGCCAGGGCTTGGCATCATCAGCCGCGTCGGAGGTGATTTTCTCTGCGAAAGTCGGGGGTTTAGTGTGGGTCCTCTAACGGGATCGGACCATACAGCTTGCTGCCGGTCGCGATAAGCCGTCACATCCGGGGTTCATACTGGCGGTTCATGTATATGTTATCATTGTAGATGCCATGTCTCCTACCCGGTCTCGTCGGACTTGTTCGAAGCCGGTTCAATTCCTTCTGACGTAGGGTCTGTCGGCTCCTAGAATCGGGCTGTGTCGTATACTGGCTGACTTGAAGTCGATTTGGTATCATATTATATATCACGTTAATCCCTATAGTAGGTGAAAGGATGAAAAAACCCTGCTTATACTAGATAAAGAATTATACTCAGTCCAATAGAACTCTTTTGCCTATCCCCGAGCACTACATAGCTACATAATCATGGCTCCCTCCACCAATGATTCTCCATTTGGCATTTCCACCTCACCATTTGCTTGCAGAGTAGGCATCAACGGCTTTGGCCGGATAGGTATGTCATTATACCCCCTCAGGTAATAGTACAAACCACTCAACATCATTCCTAGGCCGCAACCTCCTCCGCGCATCCCTCGTCCGCTCAGACATTCAAGTCGTCGCCATCAACCACACATGCGTCACAGTCGAAGACCTCATCTACCTCATCCGATATGACTCCTCCATGGGAGACCTCGACGATGGAACATCTATCCAAATAAAATCCGAAAACCTCATCATCATAGACGGCAACCCCATTACCTTGACCTCTGAGCGCGACCTGAAGAAGCTCGAATGGGATGCCCTGGGCGTCGACTATGTACTCGAATGTACAGGCAAATTCACAAAGTCGCACCAAGCTATAGAACACATCACCTATGGAAAAGCAAAGCGAGTCCTGATCTCTGCACCCTCTGATTCGCCCACCTTTGTCTATGGCGTTAACTCCAACTCGTACCGTCCTACTGAGGAGAACCTGGTCATTTCTAATGCCAGCTGCACAACGAACTGCGTTACGCCGGTGTTGAAGGTGCTTCATGAGAATTTTGGTGTCGCTCAAGGATTTTTGACGACTATTCATGCTGCTACTCGGTCTCAGCAGGTTCTGGATGGGTATAGCAAGAAGAACCGTCGGCTTGGTGAGTTAACCATTCCACACAGGTTTGATCGACTGAAACTGATGTCTCTGTTTATAGGTCGTGGTGTCTTCAACAACATCATCCCGACAACTACTGGCGCTTCAAAGGCCGTTGCTTCAGTGCTGCCCGAGCTAAGCGGCAAGGTGACGGGCGTGTCGATCCGTGTCCCGACGTAAGCTTCACTGGAGTCACTTCGTAACCATCACTTACTAACTGAACTGGACACAGACCCAATGTCTCAATGATTGACCTTACAATCAGCACCGAGAAGCCGACATCCCTCTCGGAAATTATTTCTACCTTCCGCGTCGCATCCAAGTCCAGCATGGCTGGGGTGTTGAGGGTTACAGATGAGGAGCTCGTAAGCGCTGACTATAACGGAAGCCCGTATAGTGCTATCATTGATGCACCAGCATGTTCGGAGCTTAACCCTCAGGTGAGTAGGCGTAATGGCTTTTATGGATCTGAGGCATGCTGACCTGTTTATAGTTCTTCAAAATCATGGCATGGTACGATAACGAGTGGGGTTACTCGAATCGCCTGCTGGATCTGGCGACACATGTCCACGCTGCTCAGAAGATGCAATGATGTTCTAGATCCGATACACTATTTTGTGAGCATGGGAAATGAGGGCGTTCGATGGTAGCTTAATTTTTGTCTTTATCTATATGAATCCTACGAAGCTATCGGCATGATCTCGATTTGATGATTTAGACTATTTTAGCCTAGTAATATTTATGAGGAACATTATTCTTTGTGGTTTCAGTGACTCTTCTTTTCTAGTTGATCTCCTGCTTTAACTGACATGAAGGCCATTTTGTTGTTATCGTAGACGGCTAATGCTAGCGATGTCATGTACGAGATATGTAATCACCTCGAAATATATCATCGGTTAAACCGGACACAACATACAAGTAGCGCCTTTTCCTGGCTCGAGTCGTTAAGATACAATAAGCAAATGTGCAATGAATAATAGCGTGACAATTAGGCACCTCTGCCGCCTTCAACCATTGTCCCTTTGATGTTGTAAACCCCGTGGATACTAAGCGCTCCGATCCCATCTGCTCGACTTTTCCGGATTGCCTTGGCGATAAGAATGTTATTTGATTGGCATATGCTCATTATATTCCTCTGACTACTAGGAACGGATACATACGACCACAGGGTGTGGAAAACAGGGCTTCCCGTCCGCTCAGCCGTACTTAAGCCACACGCCGGGAGGTTAGTAGTTGGGTGGGTGACCACCAGCGAATCCCTTCTGTTGTATGTTTATTATATTTTTTTTTTCTCTACTAGAAGTTCTTTCTCTACTAGAAAAATAGAAGTTTTGAAGCATCCCGAGGTCTCTGGTCCTCAATGATAGAGAACATATAGAACACTATCTCTCCTAGTCATTGACATTAAAGTGAAGGAAATCATGAACCGAATCAGCCAAGCTACATTCAATACGCGGGGCGGTCATTCTTGTCAGTTCAACCTCGGGCTCTTTGGTGGTACAGGACCTCCTAGCACGCAGTAACTGGCATGTTACGTAAATATCCACTGGCGGCGAGCAATTCCGGCGGTCCAGTGGGCACTGTCACCTCCTTTGTCACACCTACAGCGGTGGCAGGTGATCTACGGAGCCATGAAAGAACAAGGGCTTAAGTTCACATTGAGAATAATGCGGTCGGCCTTCCATAGCATTTCATAGGTAAGTAAGCTGTCAGGTATCATCCTGGCAGTCATATCCACCAAAAATGGCCTCGTTGAATAGGTTGTCTTAAATTTGATGCGAAAGTGGATCTGTCCGACGATGAAGTGCTATTAGTGATATTTAAGTCTCTTCTGTTACATATGGTAAAGTGACTATATAAAGTAGCCGGGCTATATTGCTGGGACATATACACACAGCAGGTTCGGAGGAATCCTGGTGGCATATAAGCTTATATACATAACTAAATGAGTTAAAATGATTTACATCAGAAAAATCCTAATAACCTCTAATACTTTCGACATCATGATGTTCTCTGGAACCCCTTCATAAGATATTTATATTTAACATCTAAATCCCTCTTAATCTGATACGTATCTACTGAACTCCTCAGTATCTCCTGCACATCATGCATACATATTATGGGTTTTGCAAACGCAAATCAACTTTATCATGACCTAATGCAGAAGATTGCTATGAATTTACATTCTCGTAGCATTCCCTTCTCAGACTTGCAATGGTGCAAATCAAGCAAACAGATCTAGCACCCTGTGACACAACAGGCAACCATTTAGCCGCGTAGTAACCTAATCGGTCTTGGCTCTTACTTTGCCTAAGCTGATATTGCTTTAAGACAAATAACGGCTTGTACCAAAGCAAACTTAATACATCAAATTTGTGCTATTTGCAAGTCAGGAATGGTTATCTACCCAGAATCTCCAGAGTCCTTATCGAACCAAAGCCGCGTACGCGCCGAGGCCTACTCCGCTTCAATTCTCCCCACCCCCTCCAACTCCATGGGCGCTATCTCATCGAGATGAACTACCAAAGGCCCCCTTTCGAACCCTTGCAGTTCGTCCCCGCACGAGACAGGGAGATGATGCTAGATCTTCCAGTTCGGGGGATTGATGTCGTCGCCCATGACTCGCTTGAAAATGGCGGCAATCATTGGTGCTTTTATCTCAATGTTACGGATACTACGTCGGTTCAGTTTGACATGACTCCGTCCTACAATATCCCTGGTGTCACAAACCCCAACGGCAGTAAGGGCTTATTGGTCATTAGCTATATAGAGCACGCTGTTCCGATATCGACTACGTCACAGAAAGTCGTGCGAGTGGACGCTCGCCCTGGCAGCAAAGCGCGAGATTTCCTCAGCTTAATACTGAGCCAGAAGCGTCATCAATATGAGTTCAATTCTGCAGGTGAAGGCTGCAGATTTTGGACCACCCAGCAAATCGACCTCTTCCAGAGATCTGGGATCCTGATGAACCTTCCCCAGGTGGCAGAGGCGAAAGACGCTATTCTTACGAAGTGGCCCAGTGGAATTGGGTATCCTCTTGTGATTGGCACCTACTATCCCTGATGGTCGTCTATCCATGCGCATATCTTGTGGATGTTTTCCTCTGCGTGTGGTGCAAATCGCTGTTATATTGCGCTCTGTCAGATTGATGCTTGGCTCATTCTGTTTCTGCCAAAGAAAAGACATAATAGAAAATATATAAAAACATACAACAGAAGGGATTCGCTGGTGGTCACCCACCCAACTACTAACCTCCCGGCGTGTGGCTTAAGTACGGCTGAGCGGACGGGAAGCCCTGTTTTCCACACCCTGTGGTCGTATGTACTTTGCTTCTCACACATGCTGCTTATATAGGTAAATGCACTCTAAGATTAGACTTGGAAGATACTTGATCTTCATTATTCCCCGAAACTACTTGCAAGGTGATCACCGATGTACTTGATGCCCTCTGCGCGGTAAACGTCCGACGTGACATATGAGAGATTCGAGACAGTATTGTCAAAGAAAATTATTTCCGGATTATCGATATTGTATCTCGGCCAGTGGACATTCTCTAAGAAAACAGTTAATTCAGCTCTTGTTTGAATTTGCGTACTAATCATAAAATTGGGTTGTGGGCCCTTACCTCCAGAGTAATTTGGGTCCAATGTTGTCACAAAACTGACCCACATTCTTGACATAACTGTGCTCAGGTGTGAATAACTATTCGGTATGCTCTCCATGGTCGTCTTGTTGAAGTCATACCACACGCCATCACCGTTATGAAAGACGTAGGGCATTTCTGAACCATGAGTGGCCCCGGCATAGGATCCAGCGGCAGGGCCATTCCCAGGACTGACAGCGTCAAACCTGTAGCTATACACCGAGACATTGCGGGATGACCATGCCTGGCTAGCAAACCTACGCGGGCCATGGATGTTTACATCACCCTGAAATGCGGCCACACGCTTGTATTGCCTGCCATATCCGGACGGTGGCTTTTCAACCATTATGGCGGGGATCCCAATCTGAGGGATGTTTGGGTACAGGGCCTCCAAAATATCAGTGGTAACGTTGTCGAGGCCCCAGTCTTTGACTAGCTCTCGAAACTCGGCATCCGTGTTGACTCCCGTTACAGCAAATGCTGTCCCTTCGTCAGCGTTAGCTCCAATCAGGTATGGAACTTTGACAAATTTGCCCTCCTGAAGCTGAATTGTGCCACTTCCTTCAATGAAGTCGTCATCTATGACAGGAATGAATTTCGCTCCGCTGAGGCCTGATATAGAGTGCTCGGGTACAATAGACGTGTTATCGAAAATACTGTGCAATGTATCAGTTGGAATCGTTCGGAGACAAGCCAAAGTATCCGTTGCTGAACTGCAGCCCGATGCATTCACAATGCCATCATAATAGGGCTGCCAATCGGTAGGTGTCGGATAACGTTGATAAACACTCGGGGCACCACTTTCACTGATTGCTGCACGGAATATACCATCATCGCGCCCTCCATAAGCAACCAGATGCGTGCCAACGCTATTAGCGCCGGCACTTTCACCCCAGATCGTAACCTGAGCAGGGTCGCCACCAAAAGCAGCAATGTCTAATTCATAGTCAGATCCGTAGTAAGAATAGCTTCAGTACAAACATACATACTCTCTTGTATCCAATGCAGAGCTAAGCGTTGGTCTCTAAGTCCCAGGTTCCCTACGCCAGCTTCCTTCATCTCCTTGCTCCACATAAAACCCCAGCAATGGAGACGATAATTCAGACTGACTGCGATCATCGGTTTCCCTATTTGGACTGACTGGTCAACAATGAAGGACAGATTGTACTGTTTCTCTGATGAAGAGCCGGAAGTGTATCCGCCGCCATGAATCCAAACTGCGCCCGAGTGCAAGGTCAGTTCTAGCCTTTATGATTAGATCCGGGGTATATACTGACCAGCAACGGGCAGACTGCTAGGAAGAGCTATGCTAGCTGGGCGAACGACATTCAGTGTAAGGCAGGCTTCGGAAGCACCCTTGGTCTGATTAAACCCGACACAAGCGGGTGAGTATTCCGTTGCATTTCTTGGTACCGGCCAGGAGGTATTCATTGGCCGTGGGGTCTGCAAGCGAAGTTCGCCAACAGGTTGCTGTGCATAAGGCATGCCAAGAAAAAAGTCTTGATCATAGTCTGGGTTGTGAAGTCCATAGTAGGTGCCATTCTGTACAGTAACTGAGGGGTTTGGAGTTATTCCTCGATGTTCTACTTTTCCGGCACTTGCAATCAATGGAACAAGAAGTGCTAATAGAGGAACTGATGGAACAAGCATTGCGAAGCCTTTCCTGAGAATAAGTCAGCTTCAATTTGTTGAGGTCAAAAAACGTTCTCGCGTGACTAGAGGGCATTTACATACTAAGTAACTAACCGAGATGGGGAAGATAGCCGGAACATATCCGGAACATAGCCGGACGTTGCTCAACGTTTTAAACTTTATTAGAAAGTCAATGTATGAGTCATTTATTTGCCTGTTACTAGCCGTGCTTTTCACTTTGGCTGAAACGGTTTATTGGGCTATGGTACTTAACTAAAATACCGCGTATTTCCGGATCTGCAGAGGAGGTAACATGAGAAGAGCAACCAGCGCGGAAAACGTCCGCTATTAGCTGCTGAGAATCAAAGCTGCAATGGGGGGAAATGATGTCTTCTTAATAGGACGAGCCGGTCCGATCAGGGTATTCAAAGCCCTCATCTCACATTCTCTTACCGTCTAGTGCAGCATGGTTCAAAAGCCTAGACTTTGGAACGCTGATGCCAGAAATGCAGCGAAGGGCGGGTGGATGTTAGCCATAGAGGCAAGGGTCACAGTGGTCTTGGCCGTCAGTTCACGCATACTAAGCACTGCTCGACATACAATGTTGACTGGGTGATTGAATGCTTTTAAGAACAACAAAGAGCAGGCAACAGGAAACTCATTCGACCGTAAAAAAGAACTGATCGAATGGATCGATGTCCATTAACAGATCTCCCTCGAGTTCCGTACCATCTATATCACCCCAATCACCAGGATCATGGAACATCTGCGCACCCTGTGTCCCGTTCGAAACTGGATCCAATGCAATTTCGCCTGTCTCGGCACTCCGGATTGCACCAGCCAGCCAATCATCGTTCCAGACAGTGTACGAATCCTCTCTATCCCTAGCATGCGCAATCGAACCTCCGTCAACGGTCGGATCTATCATGAGGATCTGGTCCATGTAGTCCTGTACCGTGCGGTAAACCTCTCCCGCGACGCGGTTGCGGAACTTTGTCACTGCATCATTGAAGCTGGTCAGGATTTGATGGTAAAGCTGGGCCTGTGGGCTAGTTCGGCCAATATCATCGAGAAGATGTAAGGTGCTGTTGAAGAGACTCTCAATGTCACGGCGAGGCTCTCCAGCAAACATAGAGAAGCCTAGGATGAGACCGGCGCCAAAAATCCAAGCTCTATGGGTAGACATTAATATCTTTTCAAGATAGAATTGGAAGGAAGGGGTTTGAACAAAGCGAGGAGGTAACAGGGGGGCATACTTGAGGAGACAAAAGTTTCGAAAAACGAGCCCCGCCGACTTTGCCCGTCGACACATATCTATCATGTATAAGGAAGAACTTACGCACACCTGGGCCAGTTTGGATACTTTATTGTTCTTTATAGTGACATCAGAGGCCTCATCCGGGTCACTGATCAAATGGTCTGGTGCTTTCCCACGAAGACGAGATACGAGATACGCGATCAGATACGGCCGGGTTACGAGGATTACTGCAAAGTAGTATAGGCAGGAAACGTGGATGCTTCCAACAAGTCGCTGCCGATCTGCAGGCTCCAGGAAAGGTAGGCCGTGGGAAACACTCCGGAACTGGCGGAGAGAGGCGGGCAGGCCACAACTCCATCTCCGGAGTTGCGAGAGCAGGCCCTCGGCGGTGGGGACATCGAGAAGCCCGCCATTGCTGAGAGTGTCGACGATATTAATGAGCAAAGTGCATCCGGCGCCAATGGCATAGAATGCTGAGTGAGGATCCAACTCATTGGTATCCGACATACTCTGCACTAGGGGGAGGCTTCTTGGTCTGGACAAAACAAAGCTGCTGAGAATATCAAGATTACGCATGCTGTGCCAGATTCTTCGTCTGCCATGCTTTGTCAGTGTCCATCGTTGGCACTAGCATTCAATTGCTATAACTCACCTACTTTCATAATCTTCTTTGGAGAGCGTACTATCGTAACCCTCAATGCTATGAAGCTCTAGAATTATGGCTGCTCGTGCAGCTACCCCAAGAAACATTGAAGCGGCATTTCGATTGCAGGCGCCCAGCATGTAAAATGCCATTAGCAAAAAAAGCCGTACAGTCCCGATGTTCTGGCCCATCAGCATGTCGTTGAACGCTGCCTGGCGTGCACGACGGAAGTACTCGTTCGCTACCTGGGAGTCTCTATCCGATCCTCTAACTTGGGCACCAATAGCTAGGGCGACGCCTATGGCTGCGACATCCTCCCGCGTCACAGCTGCAATGGATGTGGGCTGCCGCGAAGAGGTGTGTGCTTCAAGTAAGGCCTCGACCTCCTGGGCTGTGAAAAGATCCAGAATTCCGTTTGTCTGTGTACATTTTTAGAGACGATAGTAGCAGGTTTCATCCTAGGTACTTACTGCCTCATGATAATATTCTATGTATGAGTGAATTCTTTTGGGTTCGATAATTTGATCGTTCTCGGTTGTAGAACAACAATCTGTATCAATTATAATGTGGTGTCGCTCAGCATCCGTAAAAGGCACCGAACCCACGTAGGCCTTAATAGTTTTCCGGAGGAAATGTAAGAACGACATAGCGGAAGTTTCGCCCACATCGACTACAAGAAAGCATAGTTTAGGTTCTCGAGATTCTGTATCTGGCTCATGGATAGTTCCACACCTTTTGTTGACTGTTCCGGTGCTAAAGATAACCGCTCACGCAAAGAGGTTTCAGGGGGGCGAGTATCATCACTCCGTGACTCGGGTGTGACCATCTCAGATACTAGAGTCTCAAACTCGAATGGTGTATTCTCATTCTCAGCGGCGGTAACCCTATTGCTCTGCGAAAAGCCATCCTGCCTGTCAATGGCCCGGCTTTGTGTATTCTGTACGGCGTCACACGTTCTCCGTTTGCGACGGTCCATACCAGAATAAGCACATGTATGAGCTTGTCCCCGTCGCATACATGAGGAACATGGGCGTTGTGAATCGCACCGGATCTTCAGGATCTTGCAGGTCTGACAAGCGTGGCTGGACCGTCGTCGATCTTCCGGGCGCACTTTCGGACGTGGCATGACCGGGAAAACGTATTGTAGGGTTTGCCAGTTGTGAAAAGGTAGGGAATTCTAGTCATGGAAGTGGGAGGCCTCCAGGGAAGATACTTGGAACTGGGTCTAAGCTCTCCAATGTTTATTTGTCTTTTTCCAATCATTCCGAGCACAGATCCTACCCCGCACTAGAGGCTGGGCATCGCTATGATAAGTCTGAGGTGCGACGAACGGTTAGATAGGGAAGTTTCGAAGGCGAAAATGACGTCCCCGAGTCTTATCTGTGCTTTATGTATGCTCTTTTGCTTGTATGCGGTGCTTCAGCCCTGATAGTGGAGGGGTTAAAGATCTCGTGACCTGATTACGGGGACAATCGGCAGGTATAGTGTGCCCTATGAGAAGATACCCACTACATCAATTGCTCTATTATTTTCCGGTTCAATTCTCTGGGGAAAAAAAAAACACATATTAAAAAAAGAGCTGTCGATGAAGGTACCAGGGAGTGAAAGATCCGGCCCATACCATCCCTTAGCCGGGCGGCCGAGTATTTCCCGCCCGTTATCCGCCCCTTTTCCGTTCCCTTTTGCGTCCCGAACACTTCCATCAAGCAAGTTTCGGGAACACCGCCGGTTGAACAGTGTCCACTTCCCGAATTGAGTGCCCAAACATTCCATTTGATTCCACAGAATTCCTATCCCTCATCTTCTTCGCTGTGTCGCGCCCAGCTCCTGGGACTCGATACTCAAGCTTCGTCTTGGTGCCCATATGCACACCCGTAGGCGCGGGGTGTGTCCAAGGGAGATATTCTGGCATGAGTCCTAACTGAATCAGAGCAGTGAGCTGATCCCATGCAATGTGCTCGTGGTACAGCCGGTCACCCCTTATGTTCACAACTGCGGTAAACGGTATTTCTAGTTTGCGACCGGTGGGTGGGATACCAGGAAGCCTGCTACAGATTAGTTCGAGTAGAGCAAGCAATTGGGTTGCGAATTAATAATAAGGTGGAATAAGTCCTTACAGCCAGTCAATTTGGGTGTCGTGCGTGAACTTGTATATAAACTCATCAATGACACGATCAATACCCACCGTCCGACTGATAAGCTCAAGTTCCGCGTCTTCAGGATTATTGAAAATAAAGTGGTTCTGGTAGAAGTATGAGAGGCGATCCCTTCCAATTCCTCCCGTTAACTGCAAGTTGTTCGTCTCAGTATCTTATTAGAAAAATGTTCCGCACTTTGGATCTTACCGTAGGAATATGATTCACATACGGCTCTTGCACCATGGTCGCCATCGTATGAGGTACAGAGCGCGTCTCAAACTCATGATACGTATGTTCTTCCCAGATGGCTTCCAAATCGAAATATGGGCCCCCCATTAGAGGTTTCAGGAAGCTTAGGTTCCGTGTGTGTGATACTGACTCGGCGGTGTAGTCGAACGCCGGCTGGAAAGGGGTGGCATACTGATATGTACTGACAGCTGCGTATCCATACGCCTGGCAGTTCTCGGTTTTGGATACTATCTTTGCTGTCGCGGACGCTCCAGCCAAGTGCTGAAGCATTGGGAAGACTGGTTTGGGGATCGGCGAATCCACATTCCCATATACCACCACTCCGACAACCTCCTGGTGAGCGTGCGCTGATGCAGCGACCTTCAGCCATGCGTCGGGGTCATATGCTGGAACAAAGATGTCAGCTGCAGTATTCAAGTACGTGATAGTACTGTACTCACCAATAAGTCCAACCTTCCCCTTGGGCTGGCAGTTGTTGCAACCGGACAACGCTTCCAGGGCACAGGATATGCCATCTTGTTCACCCTCCAAGGCACCTAAGCATACTGCCGCCACCGCGTAGCCTTCTTCAGCCCATTTCAGAAACGGTGAGGGGACTCCATCGTCTAGACGCACACCTCCAAGGTCTCTCCCAGAAGTCAGTATAATTATACCAGGACCCGTACCGAGGCGTGACAGGGGGTGTAGCAAGTAGACGCCCGGTGCATGCACTTGTTGATTTGGCACAGGGAGGCTGGGGGCATGTTCAATTGCTTGGCCGGTCATGTTTGTGTATTCTCCAGGACGAATTGGTGTTATATCGAAGCTTACGACTGTTGAAGCAGGTGGAAAGTCGAGAACGTTGCTGTCATGAGCCAAAATGAAGTGATCAAGCCATGCTATCAGTGGGCCACCATATCTGATATTATATACGGAAGATTCAGTCGCCAATATGCTATCATCAGACCATAAAACTGGTTTCCGGATATCGTATCGGTTGCTCATTCGGATCCGGCGTTGATATTGATTGCGATGGTACGTTTTCCGCCGCTGTTCGGCTACGCGCCCGGATGTCCACGGACAGAATGCTTCCGCCCCGGGGCTCAAGAATGTCACTGTTTATAGTGAAGAACAGAGTAAATATTATCGGACTAGTAAGGAGAGGAGCTGTGACGATAACAGCTGCATGATAGTACACGGTTACCCATACCCGTACTTATTCTGATACTAGGTCTTCCCACCGAATATACTGCCTTCAGATACAGACAGCGCTTCAATGTAGGACTAACGTTCTCTCAAAGATCATTTCTAAGCTTGGCATTTGGGTTCTGTGTTGACTATGCTTACGAATCGAATATGCTTCCAATGCATCAAAGATTCACTTCCTCTAATTGCAGTCCAATTCTACTATAGAATGAGGGATCTACTAGACTATTTCATGGAAAATTAGGCGGATAGACAGACTTTTGTCTGAAGAAGGTCTAGCAAAGCTTCTGGGCCTTATAAGTGGTCCCCCCTCGCTGAACTTTAACCACCGATGAAACCGCGATGCCGTCTGTAGCCTGATAAATGCGCTTAGAGATTAGAGCGGCCACGGGGAAGCCTATCATGATCGTTAAATGCGCTGATCTGCCAGTCGAAATCCTTGTGTTAGTGAATTATGGCGACTTGAACACAGAATACTCTTATCTGACTCAACTTACATAAGAAGGATTTAGCGAGTCAACACTGGCAACGCCCAGCAAAGCCATGGTCGTCTCAACTTCATTTTTCAGAATTCTGATTGCCTTGTCGACGCCTGGCTCGCCAAGTGCCAAGGCGTAAAGAAATGCTCGCCCCAGTCCGACGCCTTTTGCGCCTAAAGCAAGAGCTTTCACAACATCAGAACCGCGACTGATACCCCCATCGACAATAACGTCACAACGGCGAAGGACTTCGGGGCAGTGTGCATGGATGGAAAGAAGGGTATCCACAGCAGAGGGAGCTCCCTCGAGCTGTCGTCCTCCGTGGTTCGACAGCCACGGATGTACTCCGTACTTCATGCATAGTGCAGCATCTTCCCAAGATTGAATGCCCTTTATCGCAATTGGTAGATCCGTTATCTTTCGTAACCACGAAACTGCAGACATCCAGTCAAAGTCGGGGAAGAGGTGGCTGTATCTCGTCAGGTCATTTTCTCATCAATCATATCCGGACTTATTGGGAACGCACGACCGCGAAACTGTAGGACCACTGGCAAACGCATTGTCTTCACCCTCTTGATTCCCAGAAAGTTCCTCTTCCTGTAAAAAAAATTGTCAACTCTTTAAATAGGAACGCAAGAGATTAATATGCATACCCTGATGATTAAACGCACATCACGTTCTCGTTTGCCAACTCGATTGGCATCAACAGTCAAAGCAAACCCCCGATAACCCAACGAAATAGCTTGCTTTATTTCCTTCTCCGTCACGGAAAGGTCCTCCAGAGCATATATCTGCCAGTACAATGTCTGCGCGTCCGCACGCGCATCTGCCAATTGTTCCTGAGAACAGCCGGTGTTGTTCGGCATCCAGTGAAGAATGCCATGTTTCCCAGCAGCTTTGGTCAAAGCCAGGTCTCCAATCGGATTCGCCAGCTTACCACCTCCTGCAGGGCAGATGAAAAATGGCGCTGAGTATTTTGTACCCAGAATGGATGTCGTTAAGTCGATAGCCCGGATGGGTCTAAGGACTCGCGGACAAAAGCGGATACGTTTCCAACTATTCTGGTTCCATTGAACAGTTTCTTCATCTTCAGCGCCAGATTTGAAAACTGCACGTTGCTCCAAATGCATTGGTTAGTCATGGATACACCATTTCTTCATCCTCTGGTGGTACTTACAGGCAAACGAGCGCGCAGGTAATATTTGAGAGGCAGCAAGTTCAAAGTCGTGAATGTTGACAACGGATCTCAAAAGTGAAGGGACGCTCTTCTGAAGACTACTTTCTGAGGAAGACATCTTCACTTGTGCGGGTGTGGTACTCATATCGGAATCTGCAACGGGGCCGAGATGGGCTCTATTCACATTTCAGTACAGTCGCGCAGTAGATAAACGCCAAATCAGAAGATTCCTCATACTCTCGTGATAGATGTTTCTCGATCACGTTATTTGGGTGGATGGGCTCGAATGCTTCTGTGGCATCCCGCCCAGCATATTTCAGGATGATGCTTGACCCGCCAGGATGGGAGTCCAAGTACGAGCTCAGGTCATAAACATTCCCTTTTATGATAACCAAACATCTGCCTTTTGACCTGTGCTGGCTAACTTCAGCTCTAGAGGGTATTAGCAGCTGTTCATGGAATCCAAAAGCTTCTGACTCACCTGGTCAACATGTTCGCGTATCCTAGGAGACCAGCTTTTCTTGTCGCCACGAAGTTCAGAGTTGTGATCAATTAGCTCTTAAGAATGATGGTCTTATTGGATTCATTGATTGTCCGTGCATTTATCACGGTTCCTCCAGTCCGGAAAAGGGTCATACTTTATCTCGGCTAAGGGCCGGCAGCAGTATGTGGGGCACGGATATTGCCCCTGCAGCATACACTTTCTGTCTTATTATTTCAGAGATAATAGTTCTGCCTTCATGAGAACCACGTCCCAAGTTCTAAGACAGAAATCATGGAGAAGATTTTCGCCAAGATAGCACAAGATACCACCAAGTTCGATCTTGGAGATGAAGAAGTACAAATTCATGCCTGATCTAACGATAACCTCAACTTCAAGCTGACGAGGTACAGGGCTGGAGAAAGCTGTATGAACCTTTGTATCCCAAGGCACCAGACAATGTCGGAATAGTGAAGGACGAGCAATACGGACCGGCCGAGCGTAACCGATTGGATGTATATTTTCCTGCCGAGGAAAAGCCGGGAGGACATCCAGTTGTACTCTTCGTTCACGGAGGGGGCTTTTTCTCTGGAGACAAAGGATGGAGTGAAAAGGTACTTGCATGCTACAATGGAAACGCCCATCTAAATGCTTACTCACCGACACAAGTGCTGGGCGAATGTGGGATTCTACTTTGCGCAGCGTGGATTCGTCACGGTTCTCGCAAACCATCGACTCGTCCCGCACGTTGTCTACCCTGGAGGTGCCGATGATATGCAGCTCGCTCGGGAATGGATCTTTGAAAATATTGCAAAGCAAAAGTACGGCAGAGGATCACCGGAGAAGGTCATCCTTTTGGGTCACTCGTCCGGTGGGGCACATATCGCCATGAATCTCTACGCCGCAGGTGATGAATTCCTCGACAACACTCACCATAATTCATTGCTGACTCGAGAAATAGGGGATCCAAAGCGGGCATCGAAAGACCCACTGTTCCCTCCTGTCGCGGGTGTTATTTACCTAAGTGTACCGTTCTGGTTTGATCGGAGAAAGCCTGTGCGACAGAGGGTCATCCGCCACTATTATGGATCGGATGCTGAGGAGGTCTGGGGTGTAAGTCAAATGAACTCGGGGTTTTTTTCAGACTTCCTAAACTGCTCTACAGCCTGTTTCTGCCCTGGGACTCTTCAGGAATCTACCAGACGACTCTCCGTTGTTGTAAGCTTATTCTACCTCTCCTCTTACTAAATATATGACACCCAAATACTCTGTGCTGACAACGTGAGTAGGGATTCTGAGCAGTTGCCGGTCTATATCGGAAGTGTCAAGTGGGAGGTGTAAGTCACGGAGATGTTAAGTGAAAAGCCCATTAGTACGCAAAGCTGACCTGAGAATGATTGAAACTGCTAGAAAAGAAACGGCTGATGCCACTGTGGCTTTTTTCAATGCCTATCGTGAACGGAGTAATCCTCCAGGAACGCTACCAGTGTTCCATGTACAGGACAGACATAATCATGTCAGGTCAGTTATGATTTTATCTGACCCTGGTCTTCCATTGACGGTTCTAATACCTTTAACAGCAACGTCCTATCCATTGGAACTGAAGACTCTGCACAGGCAGAAAGACTATTGGATTTCATGCAAACTTGTGTGGCAAAAGTCAATCAGAGAATACAGCGTACGCTTTCTGTGGATAGCTAGCCTAACGATAAGGGTGAAGATTGTTAACAATATTTGACAGATGAGAATGGGACCATGAGTAAGGAAAGTCTACGCTCTGGCCGCCTTTGAATACTCAATGACATGAACTGAGAAGGAAGGACCTTGGTCAGAAGTCGAATGCCACAATTCAAATGTTGAGAAATATAGAAGTAAATAAGATATACACATTAGTAAATAAGAGAAATTAGCTTAAAATTAAATAGAAGTGCTTATACATAGTAAGATCGAACAAGGAAGCAGAAAAGATAAAGATACAATCGAAAGAGCAGAAATAGACATTTAGTGAACTTGCGACAATTATATGCTAGACTGCCCAAAGACGCCCAAAACAATGACAAAGTAGACGAAGAATCTCGGAACGTTTCAATATGAGTCCATCCTTGAGGGCATACGCAGAGTATCTCTCGGACTAGGCCATCATTGTTCAAAGCAGCTTTGAAGGATAGTATCTTATTCTCCTGAAAGTCCATTGCATGCGCTGGGCTGACATTCTGATGTATAACGTTTCATATGATCATTCTGATATACGTGGGGAAGTGTAGAGTGGGCAAGGGGAGCCTTGTCTGCTACTAGAAAAACATCGTAGTACAGTAACTGCCACGGATGCCATACAATTATCAGTTTGCAGTCACACTCTGCTGGTAAGCAAAGTTTCGCTCGACTGACTCCTTGAACCACTCCCCTACACTCTTCGGGGGGCTGAGTTACGTCCAGGATTAGC